GCCATTCCATCCATTGGCAGTGCTGCTAGATGCTGCCTTCGGGCCGCGCTTGCCCTGTCTCCCTTTGAGAGGAGCAGAGACGAAAGTGGAGAAGGAGGTCGTTGTAGAGGAGGTGAAATTCTCCATCGTGATTTCAGGAAATGATGACGATTGCGTAGCGGCGTGTCGCGAGTTGGGCAGAGATGAGGCGTAATGGGAATATGCAGGAGCTCCCGAGGCAGATGGTGTCAAATCGTGACAACAGCCACAAGGGGGGAGCAGAGGCGAAACGGCGGACGTTGTCGGGTGGCCATTCGATGGCGGAGCATAGTTGCCGTTTAGCCTATCCGTTGGGAACCCCATCGATTGTGCGAAAGGAATTGAGTTGTAATAACCCATCTCGGGGCTGACTAAACCCATTGGAACGGGCGGTGGGCCAGCACCACTCATCTTCGCCTCGATGATTCAATGGCCTCCTTTACGTCCAGAATTTCTCATGCGTTCCTTGATTTTCTTTCTGCTTTGACAGTTGCCTAGGGAACTCCCGCCACATGGAATTCAACACAGCTAACATCACACAAGCTGCAAGAGTTGCAACAAGAGTAAAACATGTTTGTGGCAAGCACCTTCTTTTTCTAGACTAGTTTACAAAGGGTTGTTCCCATGGGAATGCACACACTACCTTTCCTTCCCCTTGTTCCACTTTGTACCTGTTGGCATACCCAGTGGGCTGTACCTTGGGTGGCAACAGGGGCATTCTGGTTCTTCCACCCCCAAGGTGAAGCATGATGTTATGTGGCACAGACAGCACTTGTGGAGTTCAGACTGCCACCACACACCTGCCAAACACCAACACCTTCCCACTTCCCAGAAGGAGTTGAACAGGGCCACAGAAGGTGAGGGTGCACCTGGTTGTTACCTCATTGTTGTCCTCCACTTTTCTGCAAATAGGCAGATAATATGGCGAATTACTGGAGGATTACCCGCGTGTTCCTAGTATTTGTCGACAGCGCACGCGGTCGGCTCATTTTCGCTGCCCATGTATTTCAAGGTGCACAAAACGCGAAGCTTTGGTGTTCGTGATTATTCGGGATCAGATGATGGCATGTGACGCACGGCGAAGGATGTGCGTTTTCGGGGAGCACTCGCGGCGATAGGTATTTAAGGCTCACGAAGCTTCCACCATCACACCGTAGACGAACAGAACACATCAACAACCAACACAACAGCAATCAGCATCACGCGTGACATTCTTCGTTCAATCAATCGGCTAGAACGAAACGAACAACAAACAATCAAATAATCTCGAACAGACACCAACACATTCCTTTACGAGATTCGAACAAGATGAACACCACTCCTACTCCCCAAGTCACCATCCTCGGCATCCCCTTCCGCGGTGGCCAGCCCAAGGGTGGCGTCGATCTCGCGCCCGCGGCCCTGCGCGATGCAGGATTGGAGCAAACCACCAAGAATCTCGGCTACGTTGTGAAGGATTTGGGCGACATCGATGCTCACGCTGGCGAGAATGCTCACGAACAGACGGCCGACCAGGCCAAGGCCAAGAACT